CCCTCTCCCCATACTATCAGATGCTGCTTGGGCTCCATTCCCTCCCAGAACACGGCACATGGAAGCACAACCCTTGCTGGCCACCTGACGGTGTACAGGGCCAAAGGCATATCAGCCTGTGTAGGGCCCAGAGGGGTTGCGGGGGGAATGGGGTGGCAAGTGGCCAGAGCCAGCAGTGCTTGGCAGTGGAGGCAGAGCTGGCAGGTCTCAGTAGCGGCAGTGCATGGTGGCAGTGGCAGGGCCTATACAGCACTGACTGCGGGGCCCCCCAAAGTGCAGGGCCTTGGGTGGTCACCCCAATTCACCTCCCCCCACAAGGGACGACCCTGGCTGTGGTTCTCAGGCCTGACCTGGGCACAAGGCCAGAGTCAGAATTGCTCTAGTCACCTGCCCCTCCCCCTCTGCTTTGTATGCAAATCTAAGATGAGGGCCTTTTTTCTCCCCTATGCTGATGGTGGGGGGACACACGCTCATCTTAGATTTGAGTAAATATGGTAAGTTGCACCAGTTTATTCTCTCTCTGTCTGTTTCCATCCTAGGGTAGTTATTTAAGAAATGTAGACAGGCTATGACTGCTCTTCACCACCCGATGACAAGGTACTATACCTTCTACCTGGAAGAGCTCCACATCTGTCTGTTCCTCAACCCAGTCTGATTTACATCAGGATACAAACCCAGTGTAAATTGCACAGGGGTGCATGAATGTCTGCCCATACAGAACAGTCATACCAGATACTCAAAAACAAACCCGTCTATGTATTTATTTTTTAGCATGGGGTAACCAACTTGCTATCCAACTAGATTTCTATCATAAATTTAAACACTTAAGGCAAAAACCTGCAAACACGCCAGTCAGTTTGGTTGCCCTGTCCTCTGCATTGTCAGACTAAGAGCTCTTCAGTTCATGTGGCTTGCCAATGGTATTAGGGGCTCCTGGGTTTTTCCACAGAGGCCAGACCTTGTCCTCTTAATGGATGTTATATGGGGATGATCCAGAACAAGCAAAGCAAGTGGTCACTTGGCAATCAGCTTGTTACAGGCTTTACATCTCAGGCCTCCTCTGCAATTTATGGATGAGCCCTATCTCCCTCTATGGCAGCAGAACCCAGGAGAGGGCAATGCATATAGAACAGCTTCTCTCTAAGCCTCTTATTCCGTTGAGTCTTACTCTTGTATGGAAACTTTCAACTCATGTATGGAAACTCTCAAATCATGGTCTACATCTTCAGCTTTCTTATTGTACTTCCCTCTCTCTCCCTGTTGCTCTTTCCTACTCTGTGCTGTTTCTTCCCTCTTGCTCCCATTTTTCTCTGCTGTCTTCCCTATCCAAATGTCTCACTCCAAATGTTTCCCTCCAATTCTCCACCTCTTCATCTCTTTCTGAACTTGGAGTCCCTGCTATTTTCTTTTCCCTCTCAACCCCATCACATCTCCCTGGGACATTTTCCCCGTTTCCTTTTGCTTTCCTGTCCTTCTCTGGGTTGACCCTACACTGTGTCTCTACTTTTCCAATTAGATTTCACCTCTTTCCTCTCCACGCCCCCGCAAGGAAGTCACTGCTGCTGTTGACAATTGAGAAAATTCCACAATCCCTTTTGTTTTGCCCTCTGTATCTTTCCGTTCTTCACTTGAGTAGCCAGGGCCTGATACCCCAGGAATGGGGTTAGGTCTCTTCTTTTCCTGATCTCCATGTTCCAAAAGTAAAGCTGAAATTCAACTCAGAAATTGACTTTTGTGTCTATTCCCCACTTGCTTCCCAGACAGAGTGCAATCACAAGCTTCCCCAGAGCAGACTCCAATGTGCTGTATGTACATACTGTCCCTGTATCAGTTATCAGTTTGTCAGATACCTGCTGATGTGATCACAACAGTAAACCCTACTTCAGTGATTAAGAGCTCCAGTCTGTTGCATTTGAGATACAAGATTAACCCAGGGGCTTTAGTATCTATAACTATTAAGCTCGAGGATTTACTACCTTTAATTAATTTTTCTTTGAGCAATGCAGAGAGTATCCACTAATCTTCAAATCCTTCACCAGCTTGAACTCAGTAGCACTACTACCACCTATTTAAGAGGAACCTAGATCCATCTGATGGAAAAACCTCAGTGAAAAAAAAGGGTGTGGAAATACAGAGGTAACTGAAATGCATACCCCAACAAAAACCAAGTCATGTTTTCTTTGAAGCACTACAAGAGATATTTGTCATCCCAATTAGCAAGTAAATACCGCAGTGCAAAGAAATATGGAGCCAAACTGTAGTTTTAAGTCACATGCAGGGAAAGAGTCATATATGCATTTCAGCACTGAATCAGTAAAGTTGTTAAAGAGCTGTCATGAGTCCACATCCTAATCTGTCTCTCCTTTGCAAGAACATTTCATATAGACCACAAAAGGACACTAATACGGTTCGTATTGGTGTCACGTATACTGCTATTTTCTAACTGTTCATCAACAAGTGACTTCAAACTGGGTGAGAAAGAAAAATGCTTAACTGCAAACTAGTATAATACAGACCACAATATAGAGCATTTTCCTGAGAGAGTTCAACAACAGATGGACTAGAGCTAAACTGAATCAGTAATGGCTAAACCATGAAGTTACCTTGTTACCCATATAGCATCTACAGAACATAAGCTTATTGATTTAACAGTTAGACTTATCATCTTTCTATTTTCATAGGTGGGTGCTGCCAATTTTTTAGCATAGAAATGGCCTCCATACCACATCGTAAACCTTTATCACAAGTGCTCATGTATCTGTAGAGGGAAAGAGTAAGGGCCATGTGTTTACTCCCCATTTAACATGCATGCAGCGCAGCTGTGATCCAGGGGTGCTATCTGAAGCATCCTGAAAAGGTTCAGGGTATTTCCTCATCCCCAGGGAAAATCCTGATAAATATCCCACATCTGATGCAGTTTGCAAAAACATTCTTTTTATGAACATCAGGACTATATATCATCTGTAACAGAGCTGAATAAACAATATCTAGAAAGAGGTGAATTCCACTGCAGGCAGAGGAGTCATTCTAACCTTGACTTCAGTTTGGTAGAGAGGTTTTGATAAGGAGCTCTTTGGAACTGCCTGAGGGTTCTTTCTAGCACACTCCTACATTTGTGAAGAAAACCTCTTGAACAGGATCCAGCAGTCTCACTTAATGAGACTGCAGGCAGACAGCTGAAAAACTGTCTGGGAGTTGTGAATTCTCCCTGTGCATAACAATGAGGTGTTAATGATGAAGCCCAATCATAACACTGCATATGTCAACACTGTTAACTCTTTCAGTGCTGTGGAAATACCCAGCTATTTCAGATTTGTGAATACCATTTGAGACTGAGAATAGAGTTTTACTATTGCACTATTATTTCCCTACCACTTAGTAGTTGGAAAAATAATTATACTGTGCCTTTTTTTCACATCTGGGGGAAAAACAAAGTCCTTAAGCATAGGAAATCCCAAGGTGAAGGAAATTCTGATTTTTCTACCCTATAAATTTGAAAAAAAACATTTTTGGATATCAAGAACCCTCAGTTTACTGATAGCAGTGTGATGGATATCAGAGAATCATACAGGTTAGGGTCTTTGTGTGATGCACACCATGTCTGCACTTCACTTGATTCCCAGCATTCCAGTCACATCCATAACCTCATGTGCAGCCCTGGTATCTAATCCACTCTCCAGCTTAAAGGGAATACAGTTTTTCCATCTAACACACACACACCAAAAAACACTCTTTTATCCTCTCCTGAAACCAGTTTTATCCTCAGTCTCCAGCGTATAAGGATAACATCATTATGTGCATACCCACATTCAATATCACACAGATAATCATAAATCTCTTCTTTAACTTAACTTAAAGCAGGAGTAATCAACCTGCAGAACACCTGCCAAAAATGGCACAGGCAGCCTGTGTGTGTGGTACAAAGCAGACTGGAGAGAGGAAAGGCAGCAGTGGAAGACACAGTAGAAAGCAGAGCAACCAATCGGACTGAGAGCACAAGACAGGAAGTAGAAAACAGAGTATCAGACTGGGCAAGGCATAAAACAGGGTAGCAGATCAGGCAGGGAAGGAGTGGCACTCAGGGGGGAAATGTGTCTAATTTGTTGCACACCTGCTGGAAATGTTGGCCTGCACTGCTTTGGCCAAATGTTACCGGTTCCACCAGCAGTCACAAAATTATTACAAATAAAAGGCAAATGGTGCATTTTCAAATCATATTACTCATAATACTGTCATGCAGTGAGCTTAATGCACAGGATAGGCAAGTCATTGACAAATCCCACCTCAGAAAATACTGTCTACTACACAAACTTAACACTGACCATATATTTCAAGATGGATGGACTAAAGTATTTTGAAACTAGACACATAGTTGAGGAAAGCAAAGGGTTTTCTTATTGCTGACAACTGCCAGCTTCTGCACAGGCTGCTTTTAGCTACTGGTTACTTTTCAGATCATAAAAAAACTTCAGTCACATGGGCCAGGTACAGACATTGTACTTTTACTGGTATAAGTGGTCGGAAACTGATCCACGTCCATAACAGAACATAAGTTTGGCACACAAAGACTAGTTTAAAAATGGCAGAACACAATCTAAGGTTCCCTTCCCCTCCTCCTCCCTCTGCCACCCACAAACCAATGGGCGAATGTGTGTTCTGTTCACTACTGAACTAAACTACGCCATTTACAGAAAACCACATAACTTACATTGAGTTTGCATCAGGCTTTTTGAATGACTGTGCCTAGCCTTGATGACCCAGCAACCATTTGTATTTTGAGGTACTTAACAAATTCCTAATATAAAAACATGCATGCAAGAAGGGGCTATGCGAGATTTTACTCTGCTAATTCTCCATTTTCTCCCATCAACCTTCAAAAAAGTTAGTTCAGAATTAGAGAACACTTGTCTTAAATATGAGGACTTACAGAAGTGGGGCCATGAAGACAGAAACTAACAGAGAACAAACTGCCTCTTTTCATGGCAGCTACCTCAGCTTACCTGAGTTTTCCAGACTTTCCAAAAACATGTCGCTGCAGTCCAGCAAGTCCTGTGTCAAACAGGATGATTACATAAATGTTGATGGAGATCTAGAGACAACAGCTGCTCTGCCTGATGCTGCAATGATCATAGACAGCCTGAATGCACATGCTAGGAATAATACTACAGGCATAATGTTAAATATGGATAATCTCTCTCTCTGCCATTTCTTCAGGCAGACAGGAGCAAGAATGCTTTGACAGTTATCTTCAATGACACATAAGAGACTAGGTCACTGTGAGCTGAGCACGTTGTAAAATAAGACGCTACATCCAACACAGGTGACAGTACACCCAAATCTAATGGCCCATTGGCTGAACGCAGTTAAGGCACACCTGTTTCTATACCCAACAGCACACCTGGGATTACTATCAAATCATTACATTATTATTATTATTTACACTTAGAGATGTGTTGGAGTGGTCTGGTTTTGGTACACAAAATAAGCTTGACACCCTAAAATGGCACATACTCCTGAAATGCCATGTAAGAGCACATAGGAAACCAATCCCAATATATAGTAGTAAAAAATAATATAAATTCAAGAAAAACTGTCCTTTTGACCAACCAGTCTAACCATAGCCTCCATTCCTTAACTTCCAGGAAACAGGCTGGTATCCTATGGCTGCTCAATCTTCCATGTCTCCAAATCTCAGCCTCATTCCCTCAGCTGGCTTCTTCCCACTGCACATTAGTAGCTGCCTTTCTAACCTTCCCCAAAATCTCTGCAGTCCAAACACAGACTGGCCTCTACTCCTTGTTTAAAGCCTGTGTACAAGGGTATTGCCAGGGCTCTAGAGTGGCAGTACCCAACTCTCTAGTCATGCACTATGGATGAGTGGCATGGGACCAGTCTGCAGGCTGGATCCCACACATAGGGTCACTCCACAGGGCTGATCCAGAACAGATTTGGTGTGTGGCATTAACACACGGGTGTAATCCAAAGCATCAGCATAAACCTGTGAGCTGGCTCTGTCTGTAGTCCAACCCTATGCACCAGCCTGACTCAATATCATTCTGATCTGACACATGGGACAACATCACCCAGACCCTGGGGCTCCCTACAGGTCCAAAAAGATGGCCCCAAGGCAGCAATGGCAGTGCTAATTGGTGTGCCTCTGGAGCCCCATGGGCCAGACAACAAAACTCTGTAAGCTGATGGTTAAGCACTACTGTTCTACAGTAAGGAGATAATTCCTAATATATAATCAGAAAAAAGCTTCAGACAGTTTAAGTTTCCCAAAGGAACCTCAACTGTAAAGGCACTTCCCATATTTCCACCTTCTGCTCCCTCAGACTCTTCAGGTGCAAACATATACCACCTTCATGCTGCAACATAAAAACTTTTACGGCAGCATAAAGGTAAAGCAAACTGACATCCATGCCCCTTGTTGTACCACAAATGGCCAACATGTGGCCCTGAAAAAGGTGCCACTATTTAGCCATATACATCTATTTGCTTTGTGGTGGAACAGCCTGGCAGCCTATAGCTGCCTGCACTCCCCAGTTGCCCCAGGCAGGTGCTCTGGGGATCTGTGGGGGCCTAATCCTGCATGGGATTGGGCCCCTCAAGCCCTGGGAGTGCCTCCCCATCTTTCCCCTATTACAGAGATGTGCTCTGGGGAAGCCCTGTGAGAGCATCAGCTGCTGTCCCACAAGATCAACAGGAGAAACAATGGATGATGTGTGTTTTGCTCAATAAGTAGGGCTGTGCAAAGCTTCAGGTGCTGATTTGATTCAGAGGAGATGTGGCCCAATTTGGTAACTGAATTTCCGAATCAGGAATCTGATCAGGAGACCAATAAAAAGTTTTGAATCAATTTCAAGCTCTCCGAATCGATTCAGAAAAGATTCGGAGCTTCAGAAATTAAGGCATTCCCCACTTGCTGCTGCAGGGAACTGGACCTGGACTTTGTGCTGGTAAGCAGGAGCCAGGGCAGGGGAGGGCTGGAGGAGGGGGGAGGGGATCATGGGGGGACCCCCGCAAGGCCCCATTC